ATTGATGGATATTCCTTCGATTTCCAATTCTTAGCCACCACAGAAAGGGCTGCTATGAATGTTTTTGTACAAATAGGTCCTTTCACCATTTTTTTTGAGGTCTTTGGGATACAGATCTAGCAATGGTATGGCTATATTGAAGGGTATGAACAGTTTTATAGCCCTTTGGGCATAGTTCCAAATTGTTCTCCAGAATGGTTGGATCAGTTTACAACTCTACCAGCAGTGCATTATTGTCCCAGTTTTCCCAAATCCCCTCCAACATCCATTGTTTTTCTTTCTTTTTTTAATATTAGCCAATCTGATAGGTGTGAGGTGGCACCTCAGGGTTGTTTTAATTTGCATTTCTCCAATCAATAGTGATTTAGAGCAGTTTTTCATATGGCTATAAATAGCGTTTATCACTTTGTCTGAAAACTGCCTGTTCATATCCTTTAATCATTTATCAATTGGGGAATGACTTGTATTTTTATAAATGAGACTCAGTTCTCTATATAGTTGAGAAATGAGACCCTTATCAGAGATACTTGTTGCAGTTTTCCCCCAGTTTTCTGTTTTCAAAGATTTTGTTTGCACTAAAACTTTTTAATTTTATATAATCAAAATTATCTATTTTATATTTTGTAATGCTCTCTATCTCTTGTTTGGTCACAAACTCTTTCTTCATCCATAGATCTGACAGATAAACTATTCCATGCTTCCCTAATTTGCTTATGGTATCATCCTTTATGTGTAAATCATGTACCCATTTTGGCCTCATCTTGGTATATACAGTGTGAGATGTTAGTTTACACGTACTTTCTGCCATACTGTTTTCCAGTTTTCCCAGCAGTTTTTATCAAATAATGAGCTTTTGTTTCAAAAGCTTAGATATTTGGGTTTATCATGTACCAGATTATCATGGTGATTTATTATAATGTAATTTGTACCTAATCTATTCCATTGATCCACCACCCTATTTCTTAGCCAGAACCAGATTGTTTTGAGAATTACCACTTTGTAGTACAGTTTGAGGTCTGGCACAGCTGGACAGCCTTCCTTCACTTTCCCCCCCCCATTGATTCCCTTGACATCCTTGACCTTTTTTCCTTCTAGATGAATTTGGTCATTATTTTTTTCTAGCTCTATAAAGTACTTTTTTGATGGTTTCATTGGTATGGCACCAAATAGATTTAGGTTGAATTGTCATTTTTATTATATTGGCTTAGCCTACCCATGAATAATTAATATTTTTCCAATTGTTTAGATCTAATTTTATTTGTATGAAAAGTGTTTTGGACTTGAGCTCATATAGTTTCTGAGTTTATTTTGGCAGATGGACTCCCAAATATTTTATAATGTCTACCATAACTTTAAATGGAATTTCTCTTTCTATTTCTTGATGCTGGACTTTATTGGTAATATATAGAAATGCTGATCATTTATGTGGATTCATTTTGTATCCTGCAACTTTGCTAAAGTTGTTTATTATTTCAAGTAGTTTTTTAGTTGATTCTCTAGAATTCTCTAAGTATAACATATCATCTGCAAAGATGAAAATTTGTTTGCCTATTCTAATTCCTTCCATTTCCTTTTCTTCTCTTATTGCTATAACTAACATTTTTAGTAGAATATTGAATAATAGAGGTGATAATGGGCATCCTTGCTTTACCCCAATGGTACTGGGAAGGCTTCTAGGTTAATCTCATTATAGATAATGCTTACTGATGGTTTTAGATAAATATTACTTATCTTTTTAAGGTAAGCTTCATTTATTCCTATGTTCTCTAGTGTTTATTAATAGGAATGGAAGTTGTATTTGGTCAAAGGCTTTTTCTTCATCTATCGAGATAATCATATGGTTTCTGTTGGTTGTGTATTGATATGATCAATTATGCTGATGGCTTTCTTAATATTGAACCAGCCCTGTATTCCTGGTATAAATCTCTCCTAGTCATAATATATGATCCTTGTGATATATTGCTGTAATCTCTTTGTTTTTTATTTAATATGCTTGGGAAATTGGTCTATAATTTTCTTTCTCTGTTTTCACTCATTCTGGTTTAGATATCAGTACCATATTTGTGTTATAAAAGGAATTTGGTAGGACTCCTTCTTCATCATTTTTTCCAAATACTTTATATAGTATTGGGATTAATTGTTCTTCTTCTTATTATTATTAATTGTTCTTTAAATATTTGATAGAATTTGCTTGTGAATCCATCTGGCCCTGGAAAATTCTTCTTCAGAAGTTCATTGATGGCTTGCTCAATTTTTTTTTCTAAGATTGAGTTATTTAAGTATTTTATTTCTTCCTTGTTAATCTGGGTAATTTATATTTTTTTAGATATTCATCCATTTTATTTAAATTGTCAAATTTATTGGCATAAAATTAGGCAAAATAGCTCATAACAATTGTCTTAATCTCCTATTTATTGGTGGTGAATTCATTTTTGATACATTGTAATTTGGTTTTCTTCTTTCTTTTTCTGATTAAATTAACCAGCAGTTTTTTTTTCATAAAACCAGCTTCTAGTTTTATTTATTAGTTCAATGGTTTACTTATGTTCAATTTTATTAATCTCCTCTTTGATTTTCAGGATTTCCAACTTGGTATTTAATTGGGAGGTTTTAATCTGTTATTTTTCTAGTTTTCAGTTGCACGTCCAATTCATTGATCTGCTTTTTCTCTATTTTATTGATGTAAGCAATTAGAGATATAATTATTCCCCTAAGTACTGCTTTTACTGCATCCCATACATTTTGGTATGTTGTCTCATTGCTGTCATTTTTAAAGAAATTATCTATTGTTTTTAATAAACAAATGCTTATTAATCATCTTTTTATTCTTCATTTTATTCATAAATCTAAGATTTGGGTAAACTAGATATAACTACCAACTTGCAATTCAAAGTTAGGATGTAAAAATTGAAGTATCATAATAATGGTGGAAGCTCACTCTTACATAGCTACATTTTCCCTCTAGGTAATTACTTCTTTGGCCAGGATTATGGTAAGAAACAAAGGAAGATACAAAAATGACCCTTTTGAAGTGATGGAAAAAGTAGGCATCTACTCACTGGTGGAAAAGCAGGCAGGAATGCTAAGACTTTTGTAGTTTCTAGATTATGTATAAACATTAACTGTTGATACTTGAAATATGAGATGAATGTACATATTGTTGGAAGAATTGGATCATTACCAACGTTGAGATTTTTGCTATAAATGAAACAAGAACCAGGATGATAATTGCAGGTTTTTCCATTAATATTCATCTCAATATGCATTTATATTAAGTACCTACTATGTACCGTGCATTCTATTCCATGCTATTTTGAAGGATTAGCATGTTGAAAAATTATACAAAGAGCTCAATGATACCTTCCAAATCATATATATGTATACATACATGTACATGTATATATAGAGATACATGTTATTCATGTTTATGCATGTGTGTGTATAGCTTGCTAAGGCAATTAGTACCACATAGAGTATCCATATCAATAAGATGAAGTATTAAAATATTCTTAGAATTTGAAGAACTTTTATCACAACTACTCCATCAGGAAAGTAAGGAAAGTATCACTGCTAACATTTTACAGAGAAGGATGTTGAAACTTGAGACTTACCCATTGTCACAAGGTGTTGTTGTTGCTGTTGTTCATCCTTGTTCTGGAAGAGGACCAATGACATCAAGAGGGTGATGTCTTGACTTGCAAGTGAATGGATTTAAGTGAGGCGGGGCTGTTCAAAATCATCATCCCCACTCTCTCTTCTGGAGCCCTCTGGGTCCAGTGGCAAGGTACAGATCAGGATGACTGGAGATGGCCCCAGATACAGTGAGATACCTTGGCCTTTTTAACTTAAGGTCCTTCCCAGGTCTCAGTTTGTATGAGAAAAGACCCATTCAGTGTTTAAAAGATGGGTAAGAATTGAGGCAAAAGATAGACTAGCTTGCCTTCTCAAAAGAATCAGTCTGGGAGGGGAAGACCCTTAGGATCTCTGGCTAGAACAAAAACAGTTGCCATTAATACTCACTCTGAGGCACCAAAACCCCAACAATGAGCAAGTGAGGCTTGGGCTGTGACCTATTGTGGACCAAACAATGAGAGCCAGAGTGATTTGGGTTTAAAGGCATAATCAAGCAGTTCTATCTTAGAGTTTGGGACTAGATTTTTTTCCCTCTACTTGTTTATTCTGTCATTTCCCCCTGAAAAACTAGGACAATTAACTCTTTTGTCTCATGTAGTTTTCATTATGATTTCTTGAAATATAGCTCTGGAAAACCAGGCTTGAGAAAGCCTATTGGGCTTCAAATGAAGCTACTTGAGTTTCACAAGGTAAATCTTAATGTTGGGATTAGAACCATAGATGTCCTGAGTCCAAATCCCATTTTGCTTTGTATAATCATTTTGGTTCACCTAAAGACTAGGAGATTACATTTTAAATAAATACAAGATTTGCTAACTCTGGTTTAACTTGCTGCTAGAAGAAAATATAATTCTGTCAAGAAATCATTTATTAAGAAAATATCAATCTGTCTATACAAAACAATTTTTAAAAATCAAGAAAACATTTGAATAGCAAAAAGGTAATAAATCTTTTATTTCAGGAAAGTATTTATTTAATTCAATTATTTTCAATGATATTTTACAAATGTTAATTTCATAATTTCATTATTTATACATAATTAATTTATCATGATAATGATGCATAATATAGTGACAAAGAATATACAAGTAGGCAAATGATCTGTGATTTCATCAGCTGGGGAACTCCCAGGATAGGAATTCTCTCTAGGAAGCAACCTATCTATGACTTGGTAGATAAGTCCCAGGGAGTTAAATCAGAAGTTAAATGACTCGCCCAAGGTCACACAGCTATTAAGAAGGAAGGTCAGGATTTGAACACAGGTCTTCCTTACTCCAAGTCCACCTTGACAGTATTTGCATCTGAGCAAACTGTTAGCATTATCTTTCCTCCTGCTGCTTATTATATATGTGCACTAAAGAAACAGAGACAAGAAAGGGAATAATATTTTAAAAGTAAAAAACAAAAAAACCCTCTTGATTCGTTTTTTTTTTCTGTTTTGAAAGAAAACCATCATCTGACAACCTTCATCAGGGAGAGGTGCTTTTGAATTACTCATTAAAATCAAGAAAACTGTGTACCATTGGTACAAAAAACACATTTAATTTGTTTTCATGCAAAGGGAATTAAATAGTTTTAGCTATTTTCTTTAACCTGGTACTGAGTCATTGTCTGTATTCATCCTATTGATGCTTCATAATAGCATTACCTCTTTTTTGTTCATGGAATTGTAAGTATTACTATAGATCCAAATATAAATTTATAGCCTTGTATAAATTGTAGAATAAATGTAAATCATTTTTGTCAACAAGCAGAACTGCTGGTCTTGAGTTCTGATCTTCCACCAATCTGTCATAATAGTTTACAGGTAAGTAAAATAAAATTTAAAACTTTATCAATGCTTATTTAAATTACATAAATGAAAACTCCATGAGACAAAAGAGTTAACTGTCCTAGTTTTTCAGGGGAAAATGACAGAATAAATAAGTAGAGGGGAAAAATCTAGCCCTAAACCCCAAGATGGAGCTACTTGATTATGCCTTTAAACCCAAATCACTCTGGCTTTCATTGGTTGGTCCACAATAAGTCTCAGCCCAATTCAAATTACAAATATTTAAAGTATTAAATTGCAAAGCATTTGGAATGTGCTTTTTAATTTGCTGTCTTGAAACTAACACAGCTGTTAGGTGTCCTTATTCTAGAGATCATGGGGGTCTTTGAAGACCTGGGCTTCAAATTCTAGATGGCTCTGCAAAATAAAAGTGAAAAAAATTAGATATAGCTTACACTAAACTCTTGTAGTATTCTTAAAGTGGCCCATTTCAACTGATGACTTAATCATAAGTCTAATTAAAAAGCCTTTCCAAACTGAGTAAAACAATTAAAATGTTTTAATCCTGTTAAGAAAGGTACAACAATTGGGGAAATGGGGAGAATTAGGGAGCTGCTGAGGGAAAGAGCTATTGAACTAGTGGGAGAAAGTATTTAAAAGATATGAAATCCAGTCCATGTTATAACACAATGATCTTATTATCTGTTGTGAATACTTTAAAAACTAGAATATACAATTATCTATACAAGTAATGCTGTCCATATCCAAAGATTAATTTCCTTACAATGCTTAGCAAGGTAGTGAGTAATGGATGAAGTGTATCCTTTTAGAATCTTGGGAAATATGAAAGAAATCTCAAATCAATCCACTTCAGAGATGAAGCCACTGAATCCTTTCCCACACTGTCCTATCTTTTACTAAATCCTAGCTCTGACTATTTTTTCATACTATCACTTTTGTCCAGTAGTTCCCTAAAGCCTTTAGAATAAAATACAAACTCCTTTGTTCATATTTAAAGACCTTCATAATCTGGCTACACCTTACCTTTCCAGGCTGATCACACATTACTCTTCCTTCATGCTCCTACCAACTAGCTCTCTTTCTGTTCCTCACACGCAAAATTCCACTTTCCAGCTCTGCGCTTTTGTACAAGCTATTCCTAATGCCTAGAATACTTTTCCTCATCTCTGTCTTTTGAAATTCCTAACTCCCTTGAAAGTTCAACTCTTTTGCCACCCCTTAAAGAGGTCTTTCCTGAAGCCACCAGTGATTAGTACCTCTACCAAATTACCACTCATTTATTTTGGACATATCCTGTATTTGTTTTTGCTGTCATTCAATTTTTTCAGTTGCGTCCAACTCTTCATGATCCCATTTGGGGTTTTCTTGGCAAAGGTACTAGAGTGGTTTGCCATTTCCTTCTGCAGCTCATTTCACAGATGAGAAAACTGAGGCAAACATGGGTTAAGTAACTTGCCCAGGGTCACACAGTGAGTAAGGGCCTGAGACCATATTTGAACTCACAAAGTTGAGTCTTCCTGACTCCAGGCCCTGCACTCTATCCACTGTGCCATGTAGCTGCCTTGTATTTATCTGTAAATATCCTTTATGAATATGAAGTGGAAGTGATGAATAGATTTAAGGGATTAGATCTTATAGATAAGTGTCTGAATAAGTATGGATAGAGGTTCCCAAGATTGTTTAGGAGGCAAAAATAAAAATCATTCCAAAGAAACAAAAGAGCAAGAAAGCAAAATGACTGTCTAATGAAGCTTTACAATAGAAGGAAAAGGAAAGAGAAAGAAACCCAACTGAATGCAGAATTCCAAGGAATAGCAAAAAAGAGATAAGGTTTTCTTAAATGAGTAATGCAAAAAAAGAAAGAAAGAAAAGAAAATAATAGAATGGGAAAGACAGATCTCTTCCAGAAAATTAGAGATATCAAGGGAACATTTCAGACAAACATGAACATGATAGAAGACAAAAATGGTAGGGACTTAATAGAAGTTGAACAGATTAAGAAGAGGCGGCAAGAATATGCAGAAGAACTATAAGAGAAAAATCTTAATATCACCGATAACCACAATGGTGTGGTTACTAATCTAACGCCAGACATCCTGGAGAATGAAGTCAAGTGCTAAGAAGCATTGCTAATAAGCCTGGAGGAATTCCAGCGGAGTTATTTACAATCCTACAAGGTGGTGCTATTAAACTGCTGCACTTAATATGCCAGCAAATTTGGAAAACTTAACAGTGGCCACTAGATTGGAAAAGCTCAGTTTGCATCTCAATCCTAAAGGAGGATAATGCCAAAGAACGTTCAAATTTTAGAACAATTGTGTTCATTTCACATGTCAGTGAGGTTATGCTTAAGATTCCGCAAGCCACACTTCAGCAACATGTGAAGCTGAATTAATTACAAGAAGAACAGACTGGTTTTCGAGGCAGAGGAACTGAAGACCAAATTGCCAACATTTGCTAGATTATGGAGAAAATAAGGGAGATCCAGAAAACAAAACAAAACATCTACTTCTGGTTCATTGACTACATCAAAGCCTTTGACTGTGTGGATCACAAAAAATGTGGCCAGTCCTCAAAGAGATGGGAGTATCAGATCATCTTACTTATCTCCTAAGGAACCTGTGTGTGGGCCAAGAAGCAAGTTAGAGTCGCATGTGGAACTGATTGGTTTAAGATTGAGAAAGGAGTATAACAAGGCTGTATATTGTCATTTTATTTATTTAAGTTCTTAACATCATGTGAAATTCCAAGATGGCCAAATAAAAAGTTGGAATTAAGGATGCTGGGAGAAATATGAATAATCTTAGATTAAACAGACAATACCATTCTGATGGCAGAAAGTAAAGAATTAAGAAGCCTCTTAAGGGTGAAAAGGGAGAGTTTAAAAGCTGGCTGGAAGCTTAACATTAAAAAAACAACAATGACAACAACAACAACAACAACTAAGATCTTGCAACTAGTCCCTTCACTTCCTGGCATGCAGAAGGAAAGTTAGATTTCATATTCTTAGACTCAAAAATCACTGCAGCCATAAAATTAAAAGATGCTTGCTCTTTGGAAGGAAAACTCTGGCATATCTGGACAGCATACTAAAAAAGAAGAGACATCACTCTGCTGACAAAGGTCCCTATAGTCAAAGCTATGGTTTTTCCAGCAGCAACATATGGCTTGTGAGAGTTGAACCGCAAGGAAACATGAACTCCACAGAGTCGATACTTTCAAATTGTGGTGCTGGAGAAACTTGAGAGTCCTTTGGACAGCAAGGGGATCAAATCAGTCAGTACTTAAAGAAATTAACTGAGGATTTCTCTGGAAGGGCAAATACTGAAGCTTAAATACTTAGGCAAGATAATGAGAAGATGGCACTCATTGGAAAAGACCTTGATGTTAGGAAAGATTAAAGGCAAAAGGAAAAGAGGATGGCAGAGAATGAGATGAATAGTGTCATGGAAACAATGAACATGAATTTGGACAGACTTCAGGAGATAGTAGAGGATAGAAGGATTTGGAATACTATAATCCATGGAATCATGAAGAGTCATACATGGCTGAACAACGAAAACATGCCATGGCCCTCTGATACAATGAAAGCTCTTGAGAGCAGGGATTATTTCATTCTATATTTGTATATTCACTGGCTAGCACAGTGCCTGGGACATAGAAAGCATTTAACAAATGTTTGCTGATTAATATAGGATGATAAACTGAAGAGAGATTCAAATGAAGGCTTTGTTTTTATGAATGAGGATGATGAGGGCATATTTGCAAGGAAGAAACTAGTGGATAAGGAAACATTAAAAAAAAAACATAAAAGAAAAAGGAGATGGTTGAGGAGGAAAGCCCCTAAAAGAGAAAGTGGAGAAAGACTGTATCCCAAGGTTAAAGTCTTTAGAGAAAAATTCACTTCACAATTCCCAAGTAGTGAAAGCAGAGAGATACTCAAAACAAACCATATTAGTAACTTAACTGTGGGAAGCCTTGGGTGATACCTCATCTTGGCAGATGGAAACTTAAAATATATTTCATATGACAAGAGAGGACAACTGGTCTTACCCTAGTTCCACTGTGGTGTCTCATAGTTCCTTTGGGTACTTTCTTTTTAGGATTGAAAAGTTTCTTCAGAAGCTACAGAAAATAATAAGGAGCTATGAGAGAATTGTAATAGGAGACCCTCAGTACTAATTCAGTTGTCCTTTCCTGTGGGTAGAGATTACTCTTCCCACATGGGAAAATGTATTTGTTCATGGCCAACTACTCATTTCATTTAATGCTATGGAATGAATATGGGTATTTTAAATGACTGTTAATACCTTTGCGTCCGGTAAACATGGACCAAATGCTTCCAACAAAAGAGCTTCTTCTTGTACAGATGTTTCATAGTCAGCAAAGGATAGCTTCCCATCATGGTCATGATCCTAGGAAAGATGAAGATCAGAAAATAGATTTCATGACAATAGTAGTTTTGCTAACATTATGTGTTACATATGTATAACATTACATACATGATAGAAAGAAAAATACACATGATTTTCTTTTTATTAAGGAAGAGAAGGCACATGGCACAGTGGGTAGAGAGCTGTTCTCAGGGCCAGGAAGACCTGGGTTTTAAGGCTCTATGAACCTGGGCAAGTCACTTAGTTTTCTCATGATCTTGTATTTCTCTAAGACTATAAACTGTGGAGGTACTTGCATTGGTAGAGGGAGTTGCCTCATAAGGAATTCCTTATACTAAGGAAACCACAGGTTCAGTCTCTATGTACTATCTCCACCAAAGAGGAACAAAATGGTTACTGCATTTCCCTTTTTGCTTTTCTCTCATATCCAACTGATTATTTTTGATCATAATATACTGATTATATTTTATTAAAATATACTTACCATTTTCTTAAGTGTTATATCAACTAAATCTTTAATCCCTTCATCTGGATCTTCTTCACTTGGTTGCTTGAGAAGGCTGTTTTTCAGCATGTGAAACATTTCCTCTCGTGAAATGAAACCATCACCATTCAAATCGTAAACTTCAAAACAATCTTTTAAAAACATAGCGAATTGTAGTGTTAGAAGGTTGACATTTTATTGAGTTTCTCTTACATAATTTTAGGACATACATAGGGTAGGTAGCTAGGACACTAGAAATTTTAATAATTTTCATAGTGACTTCACTAGTATGTTTAGAGCTATTGCTGCCTTTATAATTTTGATTTGGAGATAAAAATTCATGTAATCAGCCTAATATTAGAGCCAGTTTTGTATTCATATACACAACACTTAAGCACACATCTATGACCTAATGCTGCAATTATAGCTTAGCATAGAGTCTTCTTTTCCTTTCCACTTAGAAACTGACTACATTGGGTAGATTGTCCTCTCGTATTACTTACTCCCTGTAATCATCTTTCATCATATCCAATATGTAATTTCTCTCTAAAGGGTGGGCTAGGTTAATGAAACACAGAGCATACTTAATTTCCAGTATCTTCTTAGTGAATTTGGGGCCTGACTCTGTTCCCCTATGTTGATCGATGCCACATGCTATCGGCCATAGTGATAATATCTGCTAACTTCACAGTGTTAGAAAATTTGACCACCTCTCAGTAAATGTAAAAATATTCCATTCTGATATATGCCTTCTAAATCTTCTCAGTGTTGGGGTGGAAGATGAACTGAACATATCAACTATAGGACTATGAAGTTCAAGGACTCCAGTAGGTCCCAGGTTACTTTGGGTGCTGCTTAAATCTCTATCAGTTTAAGAGATCTGGTTGAGTTTAGAACATAGTGCTAACCTCAAGTTTCTGTTTTATTCTGGGCAAGGTAAAAAAAAAAATCTTTGTTCAGGTTGAGACCCTTGGCAATATCCAGAGTATACTGTATAGTTCTGCTCCCTCCACACCAGCCCTATCCTCCTGAATATGATATGATTTGTTAAAAATAACCTTAACACAAAACTAAACTGGATGGAATGGCTCTAGGGAAGAGTATATTGGTACTATTTGGTATAGAGTGCTTACAAATGTTGGTTCTTGAGAAATTCCTAATAGTCCAATGGGGCCCCAAAAGGTTAAATGCTTTTTGGCCTTCTATGTGATATTTAATGATTTACCACACTTCCTTTTAATTATAAGATGAAACATTTTTCAACAAGATTACAAAAAAAAAATAAAAAATACCACACGCCTTAAACTCAAGTTTCTGCTCCTTTCTTCCCCTTGCCGCTAGGCTAAATATCTTTTGTAATGTGTTAAATGAGGCTTACAGTTCCTCGGTTTTGCAGATATTCTCTTGCTAAAGTGATTTTGAAGTAGTAATTAATTATGCAAATATCACTGTGAATCTTAACCATACTTTGTGATAGCTATGCAATAGAGAGTATGTAGATAAGATATATAGAGGGAGATAGATGACTCAGTGTTGGGTCTGGAGTCAGAAAGATCTGAGTTCAAATCTGTCCTCATACACAATAACCGTGTGACCCTGGGAAAGGTTAACCTCTTTTTGCCTTAATCCACAGGAGCAGGAAATGGCAAACTACTCCAGTATCTTTGCCAAGAAAGCCCCATATGCAGTCACTAAGAGTTGGACTTTACTGAATGACTGAACGACAACAAACAATAAATGCCATTTCAGACAAAGAAACAGATAGCGGCCAGACTTGGAAAATAGAATAGGGCAAGACAGCATGGTGTCATAGATTGCACAATGGTAAGAAACACGGATTCATAATCCATCCTCTTGCTGTTCACTACAAGATGAAGTGACTCAATCTCTCTGGGTGGCAATACTCCCACCTGTAAAGGGATGGAATTGAACTAGATGATACCTAAGATCTCTTTTAGCTCTAAAGTCTATACTTCTACTGTCCAAGTAAAACAAAAGGATGAGAATTAACTGATTTGACAGTATCAAAGCACAGAATATGTTTCTGAAATCTTTTTGTTATCCTGTTTGTCTGGATACACAGAAAATTTTTGCTTGCTGAAAATTATTTTTAAAAACCAGGCGAAAGGACAACCATTTTCATGTAGAATCCTTATTATCTTTTGGACTCTTGTTCACCTTGATAACTTTCAGTAAAGTTAAAATTTCAATAGTGTTTGCCTCAAACTACATTGCTTCACCTTAGAATTCTTTACACTTTCTTTCAAAGTTAGGTGGTCAATTCTTTGGATATTTCTGTCTGATGTCTTTTTTTATCTCTTAGAGAATATGGACCTATGCACTTAGAATGGATATTTTATCCAGGGCCATACAAGGCAATGATAAAAGCATAAAAAATATTAAAGTAGTGGTTTTTAAACTTTCATTTTTGTTCAAAGTACATTATTTTTTGCAGAAGGGCACTGTAGCATATTGGCTATTTAATTTGACATCACAATACAAAGGAGTCAGAAAACTCAAGGTAATCTTTTTTGTTTTTGGTGAGTTCAAGGTCTGAAACGTTTTGAGGTTAGCGCATAATTTTATAGGCAAATTGTTTTTTTGTTTCATATACTGTGTTAAACATACTATGTATGTTGAGGAAGCAAAATTTATATTAAACTATTTATATAATTTTTTATCTGCAATAATATCCAAAACTTCTCAGCATAATTCGTATGATTTGTAACACACTCTTTAAGAACTACTGCTCTAAAACCAAGGATAAAACTCATGAATGCCTGGCTATATTCAGATTGATACATTAATTCAAGTTAACAACTCATTTATAGAATCTAACAGTAAAAAAATTTATGCATTGTTTATTTCAGAGAATAGATCAATATGGAATTAAGAATTAAGTGTGAAGACCAGGAAAACCATAAATACTTCACAAAATAATATACTACATTCTGGAAAACAAAGCTTGGGGGCATATCTAAGCCAGATATTGAAATGTAAATTTATAAGTAAGGCTAACACATTAAAAAGCATAAAAACAAAGATTGAAATAAAATTTATTTTTAGATAAATCACAATTATAATAAATTATGAAAAGACATGTTAGCCTATGTAGAGTAATGGGGATATCACATTCTTTCTTTTAAATAGAAAAAGGAAGAAAAAGATATCCCAGTCAGCAAGCCCTTCAGTGACAACACCCAGTCTGGTACACACACATACACACACACACACACACACACACACACACACACACACGTATATATGTATGTATATATCTTATATTATAAATTGGTTACAAAATACCAGAAAAAAAATTTTCTGTGTTATATCCATAAAACGGGGAACTTGTAGTATTTTTGTGCTAATTTCAAATATGGCTTTATACTTTGTCTTTTTCCCATGATTCATATCAATCAAAATTTTATATTAGTATCATTGTTAGTAAACAAGACTATGCTTATGTAACCTAAAATGTAGCTACCAATGGTTCCTTGTTGTATTTTATCTGTGAAATATCCTTCCTCAGCACTCAATTGTTATCAGACAGCATGTACTCTATTTATCCTGGCATTACTTTTTCATTATGGATATTTCTTGATAGAAACATTCCTCGTGCTCATCACTAACAATGCCTAGGTTTTCCAGGAAGAAGTCCAAGCATGAATCCGAGAAATGGATCTGGAGTAGCATGTTGCATTCCATAACTTTATGGGCTTTGAGAAGACATTGACACTTTCTTGGTAATATTCTGCTTTGTAGTTTCCCAAAATGTATTTGGTCACTTTAAAAAAAAATATTTCCATGCTGCTCCTTCAACTTAATTCACCTGTTCTTCACAATGTTCATCTTTCATTCACTTCTATTGTTTGAAGAGTCACAACATATTCCCTCTTCTATTTTAGCCTTATTGATTTTTGGAAAAATTTTTCAGATAAAAATAGCCCATATCATTTCAATACACTAAACTGACAAATTTTCATTAAGCAAAGCTGAATGGTCATAAGAAAACTTTACAAGGACTACTAACCAGTAGTTTACTATATTTTTCATTCTTGGAGTCAATTCTTTCCTTTGAGGCTTGTGTTAATGTAGGGGGGCTGATTTTTGTCTCTGCTGTCCCAATCGAATATAAAGCAGCAGTTTGGGGTAAGCAGTATTTGATATAGCTAAGATGTAATCCTGGTACTAAAAGAACAATTGTGTTTAGAGTTCCACAGATATTCCATGACTACTCATACCTAATGAGGTATGGCATGAATATTTTTTATACTTACTGATCAAATATTGAATTTTCATATTTTGAACATTTTGTGTGCCACCTTGTACGAGATTCTATTCTTTTATTTCAGAAGCCAAAAGTTCATTTTTATTTTTTAAAAAAAATCTATTTATGTATTTTTAGCTTTCTATATTCCCTTCCATAAGATTTTGAGTCCTAAATTTTCTCCCCATCTCTCCCCTCTCTCCACCTCAAGACAGTGTGCAATTTGATATAGGCTCTACATATACATTTACACTGAACATTAGTCGTGTTGTAAAGATGAATTAGAACCAATGGGAAAAACCATGAGAAAGAAGAAACAAAGAAACAAAAAAATTTAAAAAGAGCAGATAATATGCTTTGATCTGCATTCAGACTCCATAGTTCTTTTTCCGGATGTGGACAGCATTTTCCATTATGAGTCCTTTGGAATTGTCTTGGATCCTTGCATTGCTAAGAAGAGATGAGCCTATCAAAGTTAGTCATTGCACATTGGTACTTTTCCATTTGTATGATCTCTTTGGGATACAGACCTAGAAATGGTATTGCTGAGTCAAAGGGTATGCACAGTTTTATAGCCCTTTGGGGATAGTTCCAAATTGGTCTCCGGAACGGTTGGATCAGTTCACAATTTCACCAACAGTGCATTAGTGTTCCAATTATCTCACATCATTTTCAACATTTATCATTTTTCTTTTCTGTCATATTAGCCAATCTGATAGGTGTGATGTGGTACCTCAGAGCTGTTTTGATTTGCATTTCTTTAATCAATAATTCATCTTTATTTTCATATATGTTAAGATGATGAACAAGGTCACTTAGAATTGTTGAGTTATTAAATGAGAATGCAAGGATAGAGAGGTTTCTACAAAAGAGAAATCATTACTT